TTTTCTTTAGTGATCTATCCCTTTTTTCCTATCCTTTCCCCAGCAAAAAATGAGGGAAAATCTGAAACGGGGGACCCAGTCAAATATAAAATCTGACAGGGCTTGCCTTTATTTTTACAAAAAACATGTCTGAATGTGTTGCTGTTAGAGGATCCCCTTTTTCCCTCCTGTCCAGTTACATTGTTCTTAGCAGGACTGGAAGCAAGTTGAGGGTTAATCTCTTGAATGGAGCCAGTAAAAACATAAGAGGAGGTGGAATGTGAGCATGGCGCTCTGTGGCTGCATGAGCTAGGAGCTCCTGACACCTGCTGAGCAATGGTACTCACTTGATCTTCTTGATTATCGGCCCTTGCTTTGGAGTGTGCCCAGTCTGGGGTGGCTGGTGGGTCCGGTGGAGCCAAGGATCCGTGCCAGTGTAGGAAGCCTGTGCTGTGCTGTGAGGCAGGAGGAGGAAAGGGACCCGGCAGAGGAGCGGAGGACGCCGGGTAGACCCATGTGATTGATCAGGTGACTGGGACAAGGAAACCTGGGAACCTAGCAGACTGGTGTCAGAGACAGGGCGATGGACCTCCACAAAGCCAGACACGATGTTGGGGAAAGGGACCCAAGGTAGAGACCATCAAGATGGTGAGCCCCTCAACCACCAAAAGGAGATCTCCTGAGACCCCCTGAAGACAACAACCAGCAGCTGATGACCAGCCAGTGGATGTAGGAAATAGCAGTGGGTGAGTTGCCATGGGATGTGGTAAATCCCTAAAGCTGATGTTGTGTATGCCATTGTCATTGCTGGGAGATATGTGGACATAACAGTATTTTCCTAAAAGGTCTCACAGGTTGATGGGACGGTGTAAATGGAAACAACAATAAAGTTAGCTCATTGGAAGAAAAGAGGGGGCACGTAGGGAGTCTAAGGCGAAGAAGAAAAAGAAAGGAACACCAGAGTACTGTAACCCTCATAAAAGACCAAGAGGGGAAAGATTCTATGTGAGATCAGTATTGCGGGTAAGAACCCGGGAAACTGGAAATAAATTTCTACCTAAAGCTATAAGTAATTGTCAGGAATGGACTGGCCAGCAATAGTGGGACTCAGCTGCCTTATGAGCTGCAGTACCAGGGCTGGCCAGCGGGTGCTCCCAGCAATCAGAGACTCAACCTTGCAGCCAGTCAAAACACCTGGAACTAATTATACTGGTGTATTTAAGGGACATTCAGACCTGCAGACTCTGCCTTGGTGTTGTGTTTCTCTTGGGCCCTGTAATCCTGTTCCTGCTCTCTGTTCCTGCTGATTCTCTGCTGACCCTGCTCTGATCCCTGGCTTGTCTGACCATCATCTCCTCTGCCTGACCCTGTACCACGCTGCCCGCTACCTGCTGAACCTGGCCTGTGACCCCGACCATTCTCCGCTTGCTCCCCCATGTACCTACCTGCCCGACTGGTATTGACCCCGGCCTGCCTGACGACGCTTGCATTGTATGTACTGTTATCTGTGGGTGGTTGGTTGGTTCGTTTGCACTGTGTTATGTTTTAGTATTGCACTGTGTTTATGTTTGTATGGTTAGTGTTAATAAATTACATTGTTTATAACATATCTGAAGTCTGCGTTTCCCTGCGTCAGTCACACACCTCTGGTCACACCCGGGAGCCCTGACATTACACCAAGGCCAATCCTGACCAGAAGTGGCTGCACAGGGAAGCCATCTTGGCTTGTTGATGGGAAGGATGGATCTGGATGAGGTTGTGTATTTATATCTGCTAGTGTTTGATGACAGGGAGTATGCTTATCAAACTCTGAAGGAGTATACCCGGGATCAACTACTAGAATGTATACGGCTTTCGTCATGTTCTAGTAGATCAGGGCACAGAGTTCTCTGAGGTGCAGCCCTTTGATTGAGGTTTGTGCTGAGTTGGTTTCATCTGGTACCCCCGAATGCAGGGATGAATTTTTGCCACCATTTAGTGCAGACCAGTAGAGTCCCTGATATGGTGATTAGAGGATGATGTGGATTACTTTCTGGAGCGTTATTCCACATGTTCACCACAGACACTAAGAGATTGTATAAAACGCAGTGCAGTCTTTGGTCAGACAGGCTTTGTGTAAGCTCAGCTTTGTTCAACCCATACTGCACAGACATGGACAGACTTGTTGCACCCAGCCTCAGTCAGCTTACAAAAAACCCAGTCCTGCTTCTAATCTATTTCCTCAAAACTCTATTCCTGCATTCCCAACAGCTCCCTCCTGCCCTGCTATCTACCGCAAGTCAGTACCCTGTTCCCACTCGCTGCACCTATCCTGCCTTTAACCCTGTAAAAATGCCCTCTGTAGCAACTGCTCCCTCTCCTGTTCCATCCTCCAGTTCTTCTCTGTCTCCAGCTGCTCCATTCGTTTGCAGACCTGCGTTTACTTGCAGTGCTCCAGTAGTTAAAACCAGAAAAAAGCGAAAATTCTTTCCAACCAATACCATCCTGCCAGTATCCAAACCTGTGAACCTGCCGTCTGAGAATCTGCCTTCCGTGGTTCAGCCTGAAGCCTCTACTCAGCCTGAATCCTCTACTCAGCCTGATGCCTGTACTCAGCCTGAATGCCTGTACTCAGCCTGATGCCTCTCTTCAGCCTGAAGCCTCTACTCGGCCTGAAGCCTCTACTCGGCCTGATGCCTCTACTCGGCCTGAAGCCTCTACTCAGCCGACGCTGGCATTCAGCCTGAAGCCTCTACCCAGCATGGTGAACTGATCCAGCCTGACGATCCTATTAGGCCAGTTGACTCGATGCCCGCTGTTGATCCAGATGATCCTGTACCTGCTCCGGTGCCCGCTGTCGTGCCAATTGACTCACAGCCCGCTGTCGTACCTGGTGACTCGGTGCCCACTTGCCTTGCCAGATGACGCGGTGCCCGCTGGCGAGCCAAATGACCTGATGCCTGGTGACCCAGTGCCCTCTGTCATACCTGGTGACCCGATGCCCGCTGTAGAGCCAGACGATCCAATGCCTGGTGACCCGGTGCCCACTGCCTTGCCAGGTGACGCGGTGCCCGCTGGCAAGCCAAATGACCTGATTGCCTGGTGACCCAGTGCCCGCTGTCATACCTGGTGACCCGATGCCTGCTGTCGAGCCAGACGATCCAACGCCTGGTGACCCGGTGCCCACTGCCTTGCCAGATGACGCGGTGCCCGCTGGCAAGCCAAATGACCTGATTGCCTGGTGACCCAGTGCCCGCTGTCATACCTGGTGACCCGATGCCTGCTGTCGAGCCAGACAATCCGGTACCTGATGACCCGGTGCCCCCACTGTCGTGCCTGTTGACTCGGAGCCCACTGCCTTGCCAGATGACGCGGTGCCCGCTGTCGAGCCAAATGACCTGATGCACTGGTGACCCGATGCCCGCTGTCCAGCCAGACGATTCAATGTTGCCCCAGTGCCGCGGTCATGCCAGTTGACTCGGAGCCCACTGCCTTGCCAGATGACGCGGTGCTCGCTGTCGAGCCAAATGACTTGATGCCTGGTGACCCGATGCCCGCTGTCCAGGCCAGACGATCCAATGTCTGACCCAGTGCCAGCGGTCATGCCAGTTGACTCGGAGCCCACTGTCGTGCCTGGTGACTCGGGGACCCTGCCTTTTCCGCCGCTTCGCCTGGGGGGGCCCGAGACCTGTCGCTCCGCCTGATGGTCCGGCGCCGGCCCCGCTCCCGCCTGTGGGTCCGGCGCCCGCCGCCCCGCCTGGGGGCCCGGTGCCCGCCGCTCCCGCCTGAGGGCCCGAGACCTGTCACTCCACCTGGGGGTCCGGCGCCCGCTGCTCCCGCCTGAGGGCCCGAGACCTGTCGCTCCACCTGGGGTCCGGCGCCCGCCGCTCCGCCTGAGGGTCCGAGACCTGTCGCTCCACCTGGGGGTCCGGCGCCCGCCGCTCCGCCTGAGGGCCCGAGACCTGTCGCTCCATCTGGGGGTCTGGCGCGCCGCCGCTCCGCCTGAGGGCCCGAGACCTGTCGCTCCGCCTGGGGGTCCGGCGCCCGCCGCTCCGCCTGGGGGACCCGATGCCTGTTGCCCCGCCTGGGGCCCGATGCCTGTTGCCAGCCGCCTGGGGGTTCGATGCCTGTCACCCCGCCTGGGGGCCCGATGCCTGTCGCCCCGCCTGGGGGCCCGATGCCTGTCGCCCCTCCTGGGGGCCCAGCGCCCGCCGCTCCGCCTGGGGGCCCGATGCCTGTCGCCCCACCTGGGGGCCCGGTGCCTGTCGCCCCGCCTGGGGGCCCGATGCCTGTTGCCCCGCCTGGGGGCCCGATGCCTGTTGCCCCGCCTGGGGGCCCGATGCCTGTTGCCCCGCCTGGGGGCCCAATGCCTGTCGCCCCGCCTGGGGGCCCGATGCCTGTCGCCCCGCCTGGGGGCCCGATGCCTGTCGCCCCTCCTGGGGGGCCCGGCGCCCGCCGCTCCCCGCCTGGGGGCCCGATGCCTGTCGCCCCACCTGGGGGGCCCGATTGCCTGTCGCCCCGCCTGGGGCCCGACACCTGTTGCCCCGCCTGGGGGCCCGATGCCTATCGCCCCGCCTGGGGGCCCGACGCCTGTCGCCCTGCCTGGGGGCCCAATGCCTGTCGCCCCTCCTGGGGGCCCGGCGCCCGCCGCTCCGCCTGGGGGCCCGAAGCCCGGTCGCCCCGCCTGGGGGCCCGGTGCCTGCTGCTCTGCCCCGGGGGGGACCCGTGCCCCTGCTGCTCCGCGCCCGGGGGCCCGCTGCCTGCCTGCTGCTCCGCCTGGGGGCCCGCTGCCTGCTGCTCCGCCTGGGGGCCCGGTGCCTGCTGCCCCCGCCTGGGGGCCCGGTGCCTGCTGCTCCGCCTGGTGGCCCAAAGAAAAACGATGCCAGCTGCTTCGCCTGGTAATCCATGTGCCTCTGCCCGGAGTCCTGCACGATGTGCCTCTGCCCGGAGTCCTGCCCGATGTGCCTCTGCCCGGAGTCCAGCCCGGTGTGCCTCTGCCCGGTGTGCCTCTGCCCGGTGTTGCCTCTGCCCGGAGTCCAGCCCGATGTGCCTCTGCCCGGAGTCCAGCCCGATGTGCCTCTGCCCGGAGTCCAGGCCCGATGTGCCTCTGCCCGGAGTCCAGCCCGATGTGCCTCTGCCCGGAGTCCAGCCCGATGTGCCTCTGCCCAGTGTGCTGCTGCCCGGAGTGCCTCTGCCCGGAGTCCAGCCCGATGTGCCTCTGCCCGGAGTCCAGCCCAATGTGCCTCTGCCCCGGAGTCCAGCCCGATGTGCCTCTGCCCGGAGTCCAGCCCGATGTGCCTCTGCCCGGAGTCCTGCCCGATGTGCCTCTGCCCGGTGTGCCGCTGCCCGGAAGTCCTGCCCGGTGTGCCAGTCTTTGATATCCCGCCAGTTACCAGACCCCGGGCGGTGGAACATTTTGCCCAGCTAGGACTGTTGGGAGCGTCCTGAGGCCGCTCCTTGAGGGGGGGGTACTGTCAGGAATGGACTGGCCAGCAATAGTGGGACTCAGCTGCCTTATGAGCTGCAGTACCAGGGCTGGCCAGCGGGTGCTCCCAGCAATCAGAGACTCAACCTTGCAGCCAGTCAAACACCTGGAACTAATTATACTGGTGTATTTAAGGGACATTCAGACCTGAAGGCTCTGCCTTGGTGTTGTGTTTTCTCTTGGGCCCTGTATCCTGTTCCTGCTCTCTGTTCCTGTCTGATTCTCTGCTGACCCTGCTCTGATCCCTGGCTTGTCTGACCATTCTCCTCTGCCTGACCCTCTGTACCACGCTGCCCGCTACCTGCTGAACCTGGCCTGTGACCCCGACCATTCTCCGCTTGCTCCCCCTGTACCTACCTGCCCGACTGATATTGACCCGGCCTGCTGACGACGCTTGCATTGTATGTACTGTTATCTGTGGGTGGTTGGTTGGTTCGTTTGCACTGTGTTATGTTTTAGTATTGCACTGCGTTTATGTTTGTATGGTTAGTGTTAATAAATTACATTGTTTTTATATAACATATCTGAAGTCTGCGTTTCCCTGCGTCAGTCACACACCTCTGGTCATACCCGGGAGCCCTGACAGTAATTGTACAACTTAAAGAATATGAAGAGTAGATTTGTCAAAGGAGGAGGAACAAAAACTCCTCAACCGAATTTAAACAAAAGTATAATAAAGAAGAGTATATGCCTTTGCATCAGAAACGCCCAGAGGAACAAACCCCAGAGTCACAGAGAAGAAAATTGTACCAGTGACCTCACAAGACTATCTTTTGAGGTATAGGATAGGAATCAGTTGAAAGAAATTTCAAAGCTGGAGAGTGAAAGGGGGAAAAGGAATATAGAGGAGCAAGAAGCAATGCTACAAATGCCCAAAAAAATCAGAAATTGTAGAAATGTTTGCAAAATTAGAGAACTTCATAAAAAGTTAAATGGCGGTTTTTACGCCGCAAAATGGGACAAGTTCTGTCACGAGTAGAAGAAACAGAAGGGAAATTGGAGAAACAAGCCCAATTAATTAACAAACTAGAAGCGCAAGTGGAGAAATGAGAAGAGAACAGAGAATGCTATCATAGTTAAATTAGAAGATCAGGAAAATCGAGATAGAAGGAACAATCTAAGATCAGAGGCTTACCAGAAGTATCTCAAGGAGAAGATTTATGGAACACTATGAGAAGATTGTTTAATCCAATAACAGGGAGAGGACAGATGTAACAGCTAAAAATAGATAGAGTGCAATAAGGAGATCCCAAAGAGTTACATCAGATACCCCAAGAGACGTGATAGTACAGTTTCATTATTATGAAGATAAAGAAACTATTTGGAAGAAGCTGCGTGGGATACCAGACATAGAATATGGAGAAATAAAGTTGCAAATTTTCACAGACCATAGCACAGGAGACACTTGCTAGAATAAGATCTTTGAAACCATTGTTAGATCAGATGAGGAACAAAAATGTCCACTATAATTGGGGATTCGCTGCATGCTATATCAGCATGGATGTCACATCTCTACCTTAAACTCAATCTTTCAAAAACTGAGCTTGTAATATTTCCTCCTCCTGGTCTCCCACTCTACCATTAAGATCAACAGCACAAACATTGGTCCTTCCCCTCATGCCAGGGTGCTAGGTAATCCTAGACTCTGACCTCTCCTTTGGGCCCCACATCCACTCACTGGCTAAATCCTGCCACCTCAACCTCTGGAACATTTTCAAAATCCACCCCTTCCTGACCAATGACACCACAAAACAACTTATCCACGCCTTTGGTTATATCCCGCCTCGATTACTGCAACTCCCTCCTCACTGGTCTATCCGTTACACAGGCTATCCCCTCTTCAGTCTATTATGAATGCTGAGCTGCTAGACTCATACACCTTACTAACCGATCAGCAACTGCTGCCCCCTCTCTGCCAATCCCTTCACTGGCTTCCTCTAACCCAACGTATAAAATTCAAAAATACTTACCACAGCTTACAAAGCCATCCACAACACTGCCCCTAGCTACATCACCAACCTCATCCACAGATATCGCCCACTCTGCTCCTCCCATGATATCTTCCTCTCTAGCTCCCTCGTCACCTCCTCCCATGCTCGCCTCCAGTACTTCTCCAGAGCTTCTCCCATCTTCTGGAACTCCCTACCACAGCATGTCCGGTCAGCCCCCCACCCTGTCAGCCTTTAGGCGATCTTTGAAAACTCACTTCTTAGGGAAGCCTACCCCACCTCCACCTAAGAACTGTACTTGAATCACCTCCACTAGATCATCCCCCGCAGCTATCACTTTTTGTATCACCTCCCCCTTCCTTTAGATTGTAAGCTTCAAGAGCAGGGCCCTCACTTTCCTTCTGTACTGAAATGTATTGTAATTGTACTGTCTCCCTTATATTGTAAAGCGCTGAGCAAACTGTTGGCGCTATATAAATCCTGTATAATAATAATAATGGTTGATTGGGTGGAAGGATAGGAAATCTGCGAAACTGAGATTCCCAGAATATTTAAGAGACTTTTGTGAACAATTAGAACAAACTCTAGAAATTATAGGGTGATCTGAAGGGGGAAAGAGAATATAAGGTTAGAAGAGGAGAAATGGCAACTAGTTTCTAAAACAAGATAGATGGATGGGGGGGAGACAGCTTTGGAGGGGAGGTGAGAGGGGAGTTGGGGAGTGTTGAAACCCAGGTTTTGCATTCCCCACTCTTCCACCTGTCCCTTTTTTTTCTTTCTCCATCTCTCTCCCTCACCCTTCCTGTAATATTCTTGGGATAAAGGGCTCCTCCCCCAAAAACAGGTTAAACGGGGCTCTTAGGTATAGGAAAAGTG